AACAATTGCGTCACAAGACGATTTAATGTTGCTGATGCATTGTACAGCCCTTGGGGAATTACCAGCCACTCCCAGTGCATGTTGGAGTACTCACCGTTGTCTGCGGAGTTTCACTCGCTCTCATGAGCAATTGGTAATATTTATCGATCAAGTCGAGTGCACTGTACTTTGTACATTCAACCATTTCGTTCCAGAGAACTTCCTTTCAATGTATCGGCGTTTGTGTCGGAATGGTGGCAGCGTTGAGCTTATTGTAAGTGTGATTGATACGAAACTTGACGTTCAGTTTCCTGACACAAAACGTGGGTGTCAATTGGGGAGACTTGCTCTCACGCACCATTCCCACGTCGTACTTCCCACGAAGAAAGGCGTCAATGACGTCACACTGCTCCTTGGGCAGGGGCCATCGGCGTGTTTCGCAATATTTGGTTTCCGGAACCAGGTCGATCTCATAACGCGCATCTCGGTCCGGAGGTATGACCGACGGTGTGTGTTTGGAGATGACGTCTTGAAACATCTTTACCGAAGAATAGGACGGATTTGAGGGGTCCTTCAGGATCGACGATCCACTTCGTGCGTTCACCACCTTCTAAGTGTTCATCAGGACAGCTTCATCCAGAAGCGAAGACGACTTAATCTCCTCGTTAGGTCTTATAATGACCATCCGGCTAACTTCAAGGCACCGCGTAACCCCTTCAACAGACATCTCGTTCAGTTCAAGAAGATCATCGACCACGGGAATAACCTCGAGGATGACATCGCCGTTTTCCCCTCCCGTCATACCGCTGACAAGGGTATATAGCTGTGCGTTATCATCAACAATACACACACCCTGGGTCAGGGTCGACGCCCTGCGTCTTGCCAAATGCGTACGACCTCGCCGTCTCCTCTCTGTAGAGGTTTTACGCCTCATCCTTACTTTATTTTGATGCTGCGAAACCTGAAGAGCACTAATCAATATTCACGATCGAGCTGGACAATATTTCCATTTTAAGTGATTCTACTTTGTAAATAGGGTCAATGTTGATCAGCCACCTAACAGAGCTTATAAATTGCTATGATAGCTGTGTTGATGATATTTACGCGCTCGAACGGTGTAGCCACAAGCTTCTATGACAAAGCCCAGAACGATGCATCTCAAGCCGCTGAGGCACTTAAGCCGGACGGCGGACAAGTCCATTCAAACTAGCAGAAAAGTGGCCCTTGTCGTCTTTAGCGAAACATATTGACCACAACCTATATCACAATCATGCCGACTAGTATACATGCAAGAAAGAGCGAGTTAGAGTATTATACCTTAGGATTGTTTGTGCCAAGTAGGGACATCCCAATCTTTGCGCATCCAGCGCTTTTAGAAATAGGTTTAGCTCACATTAAATTTAGACGAGTGCAGGTCCTGATGTTAGAGAGGACTGTATGTATCCTTCTCGACAAGATCTTTTTTAACAGGCTCTGTTCCGTTCTTTGGATGGCAGACTCATGCTGTAACTGACAAATCCCATATCAGAAGATAAATAACACTGTAAAATGATCTGGCCGAGCGGTGGGTACTGTGACATGCTCTATTTAGAACCAGAATGCCCATTTGAAGTCCATACGATTGACTGTATAATGATACCAGCTATCTACTCCAAGAATCATACTTCTACCCCACGTAAGTAAACAGCACTCTAACAGACGAGCGTCGGCTTTATTGCTTCAGTATAGGACATACTACAGTAGTTGACAGCTTACCGGATATTTTGGATTTTGTAGGAGCCTAATGTTACTCGAGTTTTGAATATGCGCGTGGATATAATTCTAAACATACCGCCATGAACAAAACGCAACCTTTGTGTGACCAAAATGTCTAAACAAACTGTTAGCACTTACAGTAGAACCTGTCTAAATTAAACCTGTTTAATTTCAAACCCTCTCTAAATTGAACAAAAGATATGGACCCATGTTGGGCACCATACAGTAGGACCTGTCTAAATCAAACCTGTTCTAATTTAAAACCCACTCTAAATTAAACACTGTCCCCCAGTCCCAAGATGTTTATACTGCCCCCCCAGTCCCAAGATGTTTAATATAGACAGGTTTTACTATATTTGACAAAATGGTGAAATTAATACTGCAAACTGGTCGGTGGTGCCGCGGGGTGAAAGCTTGAAGTCTTCTAATGGAGATGTCGTACTGCCGTTTTGCATTGCAGCAGCGATATCGTCCCTGGATTGTTGCTATCTACAACCCCACGTATGTCAGAGTTCGGCGAAAGCAATAGCGTAAACTGTGTTGTTGTAGAACAATCACAGCGGACTTCGTTTATGGGGATCTAATTCGCACATGTCTAATACCACGTCCGATGTAGACTTTTGATTAAGATGATGATCTTGCGTGAATTAGTCAAATATCGGAATGACATGCCGTGCGAGACCAACTGATGTCAGTTGACTGTGGCCATACATGAACACCGCAGCAGTCGAAGTAAGATGTCGTTCAGCACTGAGACATCACACAATTCGGGCAGCAGTTGCTCCAACAATATATATGGTGACTTAATTGCCGTCTCAAATATTAAATGACATTTTTTTCCCAGGACAGAAAAAAGGATATGTGAGGCTACACAATGAGTTGATTGAAAGCTTTTTCTACATCGCTATCAACGTGGGGAGGAGCTGAGCTTATCATTCATTATTAGATAAATTCTAGATGTGAAGCTACACAATGAGTTGATTACAAGATTTTTCTGTATCATGATCAACGGGAAAAGGAGCCGAGCTCAACATTTCTTATAAAATGTGATGACAATTGCAAAGTAATGAGCGCGTGGAGTTAAACAACTATTTCCAAAGATTCTATATACCCTTTCATTCATTTTTAAAATGAAATCATGATGCGGTGACAATAGCCCCATCACGATTGTTACTCTAGACACGGTAGCGCGTTATGAAATTGTTTTGGATCAGGGTAAAGTGTTATGTCACGTGGTCATGGATCTTGCCAACTCAAGTGTGTGATGTCATCGATACTTTCTCCTTTATGATGCACTATTTGAATCTGGTGAGAAAGAGCGAATCTCCCAACTTGGTGTCGACTTTTTGTGTAGGGCTAACATCAAGCGGTAAATTGCTCTTATTTATCATAATCTAAATGTATGCAATTCTGGTGCGAATACCAATTCAACACGGGATGTGGTGCAGAACAACCTGGTCGGTTGCACCTTACTCAGTGATCTCAATCTAGTAAGCCGATATCATAAGCTGCTGACGAGATGAAGCAATATTCCTATCGCGGTAACAATTTATGTGAGTGGAATGCTCTGGGAACAGTCAATTTTGCCACAGGAACTTTTCATTTGACCAGCAAGTTTCATTGGCCGGACGACATAGCTATTGAATCGCATCGTGATTATGCGCACATTTGTATTGTCGGTGAATTCGTCATTGCCGTGAAGAACATGCGCTTGGCTAAGCTCGTTCCCATTACAGACAAGTGTGTCTTTGGCTTCTACAAAATATCCATTCTTGGTTGCTACATTGGGTAGCAAGGCATGAGGGCTGATCCCGCGATAGTCTCCTGTTCCACAAGGACTTGAGGAAATGATTTTACCTTACCAACAAATAACACATGTACAATGCACACTTTGCCAACAGGGGACGACCCTTCACTAATCGGTTTTGAAGAGATGTCATAGTGCAACATAAGAGGCAACCATTAATGCCGTAAAGAAAATCTCATGTATGCCTGATTAATGCTCTTTCAAATTTAGATCGACGCACGTCGCCTGTGGTGTTCAGCCATTCCAATGGGCTGCACTAACCGCAAGTAGATGCAAATAGGCATGAACGCGTGATCGCGTAGGGTCTCGCCGTCTGAAAACTGCTGTGAAGAGCTAATTCGTTGATTGACAAAGAGCTACCTACAAAAAATCTTTGGTCAAGTTTTGCGGTGCACTGCCGCGAAGCACACTTTAAATCGTATCAGTAAACTTTCCTTAGCAATATATGCAGGGCATGCCACGCTATGTCTGAGATTTATGATAAACAGAAGCAACACGCAGATGCCTGATGCAAGCGGAACACACACCACGTTGTTCTAGATTAATAAATTTTATCGAGTGCAATAAACTGACTTAAACATGCTGTGTCTGTGGTCTGTTAGGTAAGATCATTGCACCGTTAACGGGCAGAGAGAGAGGGTCATAATATAGTTTTAGCATCCCAAAAAGAATGCAAACGCATTTTATATTCTAAGTGGGCCGAAAAAGTCATTCCACGATTGCTCTCTCACGAGCCAATCGGACGTGATGAGGATAATTTAAAGTTGCACAGCTAACTGATGATCTAGTTGGGGTACTTCTCAATTTGCCGGCTACTACGCAAGTCAAATCCCTAGAAGTACTCCCCAACCCCCAGTCCTCCACTTCAGTTGCTACTCCCCTTTTCTGAAGATGAAATATCCAGCTGTTCCG